TAATTATTTATAGAAAAAAATTGCAGAAAATATGGTGAGGGAAAATGGCAAGACCATGCTAGATGCCGAAGGTGATATTTTACGTGGTCTGCGTAAGTGTATTTTTAATTAACGATTAAATATAAATAACGAGCGAATTAATGATCCCTAAAAATCGCGTAGGCATATGTGATAATAATAATATAATAAGTATATTATAATAATATCGAGATATTAAAATTATTGTTAATATTCTATAAGAGTTGGTCGCGACCCCATGATGTATATGAGGGGAGTAAGGGAGTCACGTTAAATTAAATTTACTCGGACAGAAATTTGGTAAAAAATAATTAAAAAAATTCTTGGATTACCCACAACGACCCAAAATTAATTTCAAAGATGTTTGGCAAAATTTACGCGTATAGTTATAAAACGTATTAATGAATTTTTATGACGGTGAAAACACAAACCTATACTCAGGGTGGGTGGCGTAAAAATATTAGTATAAAAGGATAAAAAAAAAAAATTTTTTTTAAAAGTTTGAGAAACCTTATTCTCTAATATAATCATTTTTTTCTTTTTTTTTTTTTAAATTAAAGTTATTATTTTGTAATTATTTGCAGAGGTCGTAGATGCATGCACTTCAATACCAATGTTACAAATGGGTGAATCAACCCCGAACATTGCCACAGACATGGACATTATTTCATACAAAATTCCAATTGGCGTGACAGGTGCCATATGTCCGTTTAATTTTCCCGCAATGATCCCATTATGGTCGTTTCCGGTATCAGTTGCATGTGGCAACACAACGATTTTAAAACCTTCCGAACGAGTACCGGGAGCTTCGATGATACTTGCTGATCTTTTTACGAAAGCAGGTGCCCCACCAGGTCTTTTAAACGTCATTCATGGTCAACATTCTACAGTTGATTTCATTTGTCAACATCCTGACATCAAAGCTGTATCATTTGTTGGTTCGGATCAAGCGGTAGGTAAATATTTGTAATAAATGAAATATTATATAAAATTGTACGGGGTCGTATTTGTATTAAATATATTTGTCATTACGATTATTAGTTATTTTTTTTCATGCAACGTTATATAAATTTAACTAAATTTTAATAGAATTTCAATGAAAATTTATCTATTTTAATATTCTACGATTTTTATTTGTGATACTAATTATATATCAAAACCTTGTCATGTTTTTTTTATCATTTTTGTATAGATAATAATAATAATAATAAATTAAATTTGACGTAGAGTTAATTGGATTAAAAAAATTGTATTAACAAAATATTTCGTTATTTAGAATAAAAAATTGTAAGAAAATTTCTTGATCGTAGAAAATAAGTACGATATTACAGCAGTTTTATAATTTATTTTAATATTTAAATTTATTATCAATGTTTTAAATATAATTATCATTTGTGATATAGTACGAGTGACTTTATTAAAAATCTATTCAAATTTCAGGGTAAATACATATACAAGGAAAGTAGTGCACACGGTAAACGCGTGCAATGCAACATGGGTGCGAAGAATCATTGCGTGGTATTACCGGATGCGAATAAAAATAAAACACTTTCGCAAATAACTGGTGCGGCATTCGGTGCAGCTGGTCAAAGGTGTATGGCATTGTCCGTGGCAATTTTCGTAGGTAAATCAAAGGAATGGATAGGGGATTTGGTTGAAGCTGCCAAGAGGTTGAAGGTCAATGCCGGACATGTACCTGGTACCGACCTTGGGCCAGTTATATCGCCACAATCGAAACAAAGGATATGTAATTTAATCGAATCAGGTGTTAAAGAAGGTGCTGGTCTTCCGTTAGATGGAAGAGGAATTGTTGTACAAGGATACGAAAATGGAAATTTTGTTGGGCCTACTGTCTTAACCAATGTCAAGGTAAATAAATTTTATTTTTTATATTGGCTTACGTTAGCCATTTTGTATTTTAATATCTTAACGTTTATACACTTTCATTTATTTGATTAATTTTTTTTGTAATACTTTTAGCCCACTTCTTACAGCGTAAATAATAATAATAATATATATTAAATTATTTTAAATAAATAGTTAATATTTATATGAAAAAGTGTTAATGTCGTATCTCAATTAAATATTGATATTATATTACAAAGATAAAAGAAAAAAATATTAGGATAGACACACAAAAAATTGGATATTATAAATAATTATATGTTCATAATATTATGTTCTTTACCATATAGTCATCTATGAAATGTTATACGGAAGAGATCTTTGGTCCAGTACTTTCCTGTATGTTCGCTGATACTTTGGACGAAGCCATAGATATTATCAATAAAAATCCTTATGGGAATGGTACTGCCGTATTTACGAGCAACGGTGCAACCGCAAGAACGTTCGTTGATAGAATTGAAGCAGGTCAAGTTGGCATTAACGTTCCCATACCAGTTCCATTACCTATGTTCAGTTTCACCGGTAATAAAGGATCGTTTCTTGGGGACAATCATTTTTACGGAAAATACGTAAGATCACAACAAAAAAACATAAATTTATTTTCTTCTTTCTCACTCTCTTTGTTTCTTTTTAATTATGTATTTTTTTTTTGTGTTTATTTTATTTAATTTGAAAATATTATACTACAACAAACGCATTATTTTGATTAATTCTGATTTTAGGCTGTCAATTTCTACACGCAAACGAAGACAGTAACTCAATTATGGCGATCAAGTGACGCGAGTAATATTGCATCGTCAACGGCAATGCCTACAATGCAATAAAAAAAATATATATATATAATAATATTTCCATTTAAATAGATTTTTTTAACAAAAATTTTACGCTTATTAAAAGTCTTCCAAGGAAAATGATCTTTACACAGTTCCTACAACGTGTTTACTTTATTAAAGAGTTTTTTTTTATATATATTATACGATGATATAGATATATATTAATTCTCGTACATGTATCATCAAAAAATCATGCTACTATTTATAAATATCATATATATATATTTTTTTATCAAAGAAAAGAAATATAAATGCATCGATATTAATTATCGTTTATTAAATAAAATTGGATTCAACTAAAATTGTAGAGAAAAGAAAAAAAAAAAAAGATTACCAGGATTGAAATAAAAAGTACGTTAACAAATGATCCATAGTATCTCGAGTTTTATATGGAAAATGAAATTACGATAGAAAGAGAAAGAGAGAGAAACAAAAAATATAAAGTACACGTTAAAGTTTGATATAATAAAAAAATGATCGATAATTTTTCCATTTAATTTGATGATCAACCTTTTAAAAGTAAAAAACAATCACACACATATACACTTCCTTCTCTCGAAATTAAATACTCGCAAAGATTTAAACCGAGTTTGCGATTAAACGTAAATTCAGGAAACACAAAAAAAGATATAAATATAATTCTTTCTTTTTTATTTTTCTTCTATTTTACTGGACCAAAAAATTTTATACACTCTTCTAATTATAGTTATTGTATAATATTAAATGGAAATAAAATAAAATAAAAGAAAGAAAAATAGTAGTAGGGGTGGGGTTGAAGTTAGAATTCACTCTCTCTACTTCTCTCTCTCTCTCCCTCTCTCTCTCTCTCTTTCTATTTGTCGTGAACCTTTGAACTCTTCTTCCTTATCAAGGAAAACATTTCAAAACACCATCCATACCACTCCCGGAAGTTTCCGAGTAACGCATGCGCCTTACTAACTTGGTGGTAGAAATTCTTGATCACCATCCCCCTTTTCTTGGTTCGCATCTGCGCATTTTCCTAAACCCCGATGGTGGATAATTTCGTTCACACGACCGCCGACACAAGGCTGTGTTCTACCTGCCTGCGTTTCCCAAGAATCGTCTAGTGGAATCATCCTCATCGAGGTAATACGAATTGAACCAAACAAATTTTTATCTTTTTATTTCTTTCTCTTTCTCTCTTTCTCTGTCTCTTTGTATGTTGAAACACACAAATTTTAACTCGTGAGTATATATTATTATCATTATTATTATAATATATATATATATATAAGTACGATTATTTATTTATTTATAATNNCATAAACGGTAAATGATATGTTCAGGATTTTTTGTTTTTTATTTATATTAAATAACAATAATATTAAAACAAATTACGCGAAGTCTTGATCGAAGAAAGGGTTAAATTTGGACACGATTACTATGAATTGATTCGTGTTAGGATAATTTTAAAAATTTCACGAAGGTTCTCATGAAAAATTTCGAAATATTCCGATAAATAAATTTTTTCCTTTTTCCTCTTTTTTTTTTCGAAAGATTAATTAATAATTAAAACAACGACAAAATAATTAACTCTTCGTTTGAATAATAATAATAATTACTTTAAACGTCAACAGATGTAACATTTAAAAATCTTCCATCCGCATAAAACGTTATGCAAGTATTAATCTTAAATTATACAAATAGAAATGAAACAAATCGGAATGATAATAGAAAAAGGTTAATTTATTCATAGTTATCAAGGTTTTATAAACATTTTCCGTGCATAAAATAATCCGATAATGGACGTATGATGAATCATGTGTGGAGATAGACTTTGAACAATAACTCTTAAGAATTTATACGTCAAAAATGAGAAAAAACAAACAAACCTACAAAACAATTCATATAAATAATACCAAATGTAATATTAGAAAATTTGTCGAATTTTGTTTCAGGTGAAATGGCAGTATTGTATTTATATATGAGATATAGATACAATTGGAATGAAGTTACGTTTAGTATGTGGTCCACGTATGGTATGGTGACCAATCTTATTGGTAAGATTATATTCCTAAAATTAATTTCATTATTATATATCACAATTACACATAAAATTCATTTATTATTTAACAAAAAAATATATATATACATATACATATATATAATATTATTTCGAGATGAAAAATTAATTAATTAGAATAATATTAAAATTATATAACGAAAGATATTTATTTTCATAATTAATTATTTGATCTATCTATAATATAATTAACATATATCTACATATCGAGAAACAATAATAATAATAAAGTAATACAATATAAAAATAATATTGAAAAAATAATGAAAATATTATATCGATAGATTTGTTTATACAGGTGTTCCTATTACCTCATATTTCTCTAATGATGTACAAAACCGTGAGAAAAGGTGATGCCAGTTTACAATACACGATTTTACCACAAAGCGATCAATTCAATTCTAACGGATTGTCACAATCAACGTCACATAATACGGGAAATGGAAAATCACGATCTAAAATTATCAAATATACGATATTTACATTAGCGTTGATCGTATTATCATGCGTGGGAATACCATTATTGATAAATCAAAACGATCACAATTTATTTGCCGGTACTATACTTGTTATGGGTAGGGTTGGATATGAAACAACAACTACAACGACTATGACAACGTCAACAACAACAACAACAACAACAACAACAACGTCAACTTCATCGACAACTGCATCATCGACTAGCAATAGCAGCAATGGTGGTAGTGGTGCTGGTGGTGGTGCTGGTGGCACCAGCAACAGCAACAACACCACCAGTACGTCAACTACCATCGAAAATGCATTGAAAAGTGATCAGATCAGTGAAGATGAAGAAGAGGATGAGGAAGAAGAAGATGACGAGGAAGAAGAAATAATCATTGACAAGAGTAAATATCAAATTCCAATTAGGAAGACAACTAGGCCAAGGACAACTACTGTAATGATAACTTCTACTATTACTGCTTCCTCTTCTTCTTCTTCTTCTTCTTCTTCTTCTTCTTCTTCCTCTAAGAACAAAGATTTTGACAATCTAACGATACCCATCGATTCCTTAAAGGATGACGAGCTTGAATCTTCCGAGACTCTATCTCCAGGTATATGTACATATATATTTATAGATATATATAAATATATAGATATAAGTGTAGAGATGGTATATATTAAATTGTCTGTACAAACTTTGGGAATAAGTTTTAAGGGTTCCCTGAACAAGTAGATAGTAATATACCACAAATATATCTATATATATATATACGGATGTTGAAACGCTTGCTTTTGAAATTAAATTGAAAATTGGAAATGTTTGTATAAGATTATCAGAACTAATAGCTTTGATTTTTATTCTTTTAAATTTATTTTTAACCTGTAGTGTTTCTTTCTCTTCTTGTACTATATTTCTTGGCAAATTTTCATGCTAAATGATAAGAGAAAATGAATAATATAAAATTGCCTAGTATTTTTAATTTACAATAGTATAATGTCTTGCTTTATTATACATGACAAATTTTGTTAGAATAATTGTTGATGTAATTAAGAAATAAAAAAAAAAAAACGTAAGTATTTCAAACGTATCGTTTTCATTCGAATTCAAATAATATTAATAAATTTCATTGAACATTAATATAAATAATGATATATAAATTATATATTATCATATTTAAAAATAATAATATATTTTATCGCTTATATACATCCGTTGTTTTTATTTCCAGACGAAATAATCGTGGATGAAGGAAGAATTCCGACTGATTCGTCGTTGAATATACGACAGACGAGTATTTATTTGAATTCTCAGTCGTCCCCATCCTCTACCCCATCATCGGAATTTTCGAAATCCTCTTTGAGCAGCATCGAACCCTCGGAAATGACGAAGGTGTCGTCTGGTACCGGTAGGAAGACAAAAATGCCACGGGTGACATTGAAATTACGAGAAAACGAGACGATACCACAAATGTATATGAAAGCTGGTATAGCTTCTTATAAAAAGGGTAATATTACTACGAGCGTTTTGGCACACGGACTTAGCTTAGAAGGTTTGATTTTTAAAACACCCGAAGGAACAATCAAACCATGGGAACAAAAATGGTTCTTTTCCGATCCCTCTTCGGATTTCCAATGGAAGGTGAGATTTATCTATATTATTTTGCTATATTATTATAATCATTTTTGTTCATTATTTATATATTTTTATTTTATTTTATTACTTTATATTTTTATTTATTTTTTTTATTGTTCCTTATGTTTTCATCTATTAAAATTATTTAGAAATTTATGGATTAAAATCATATATATTGGAGAAAAGAAAAATTATGATATTTAATCATTACAATTTTTGTTAAATAATAATTATATTATTTTATATTTTTGTTCGGACTCGAACTCGGGACAATCTATAAATAATATGTGTGTGTGGTTTGATATTTTTCGGGTCAACGGGATGAAATAATTTTAATCGATATTTTAAATAAACTGTCAATATTTATCATTTAAATATCAATATGTAAAATGACATATTGTATTGACAAGATACAATTTCATTATCAGACGATTTAATTATTATCTACACTATACAAAATATTCATATATATATATTGAAGATTTATTATTAAAAATCGTTCGTCAAATGAAATTCTAACGAGTAACAACATTTCCTGACAAAATTCAACTTGTCATATGAATAATTAAAATTAACTCGATTCAAATTCATTCGTCTCATTAAAAAAAAAATAATTCAATTAATCGAATATTCGCGTATTAAACATTCATTATATTTTTTTTGACTTAACATTTCTTATTAATATACTATTCCCTTTTATGCAAATAAGATAACGTGGAATTTATTAATTCGTTCGTATTGAAAATTGTTAGAATACTGATCTATTCAATAAATATTACACAAATCGATTTGAACTCTATTCCTTAAATGGATTTTTTCTTTTTTTTTTTTT